TGTTTTACATCCCTATATATAATATATATATATATATATTACATATAGGGATGTAAAACATGGAATTACCCAGCTTAGCTCGGATGATCACATGACGACCGTCCAATTTTTCGACACTTTCCTGGAGTTCCTCTTCAGAAAGTGGTGTAGTCAGGTATATCAGCCGAAAAGCTCACGAAGAAGTTTTGTAGCATATGTAAGAACGAATACCTCATGGAATTACGTGATCATCACAATACAATCCGATCAGAAACGTAATCTTTAGACCATCGGCCTTTTATTGGTGACGTAGTATTTCCTGATGACGACTTTCAACTGCCAAGGGAACAGCGTCAGTGGCAGGCAGTAATCACTCATTCAGTTAAAAAAAAGTTGAACAAGTTAGAGGCACCATGATTCAGGCATCAGCAGGAAGAGTCGATTTTCATACGACCAAAGTGCTGGGTCTCCAACAACATATCGAGCAGAAGCCACTACTTCAAGGGAGCCATCTTCGCCATCGAGGAAAGAAGGGGACGCTCCCTTGAAGTCAGCCACCAAGAGCGACAAAGAATCAAGCTTCTCGTATTGCCAGCCTCCCCAACTACATCTAGGTTGTCTGCAAACGAAGGTCATTTGTAAAAAGTGTCATTATTTTCGTGAATAATGCAACATATCTAAAAAGTATTGCAATGTTTAAAATTACTGTTACATCACTAGATTGATAAATGATTTTCTGATATATACGTAAATTGGTGCACGCAAACGTATGTAATACTGTCACTATGCCCTTTACAATTGATTTCGATTCGGCTCACCCATGACAGCTTACTAAAGGTGTTCTAGGGTCATAGAATTATTACTTTTGAAATATTCTGTAAAACACGTGCCCACTGAATGAAAAACAAACTTATTTGAGAGTAGTATGTTTTGATTTTGTCTCGCCCAACAATTCGCTATTAATGAGGGCACATACTGTAACCAAGATTATGAAATATCTAGTGTCACAAAAGCTTTCAAAAAATGGCAACCAATGAACGTGTTCGACAGTGAGTCAAATTTCAAGAATCAGGAGAGTAATAAAGTCTAGTTCAAATCTGCACTTCTTTTCAGTTATGCTCCTCGTCATCAGTATTAGCCAGCATTGAGCGGACAAGGGTCCTTCGGATCGGCCTCTACATAGCCTCTTGTAAACCATAAAAAATTGACTCTTATCTTAGCTACCTGTATAGTATAGGATGCTCTTCCTCTTCGAAAGAAGATTCTATCGAGGTTTTTTGCCTCTTTCAATTCTGGCGTCGGTACAGCTGAAGACCGATCCTTCTCAAGTAGGAAAAAAGTGGAGGCAAGGCCTCTAATTTTCTATTGAAGGCACAGTTCAGGATGAAAATGGTCACTAAGTTCTTCCCCAGGAAAACTGAGTGGTCCCCAAGGGTAATAGAAAGGACCCTCTCGCGCCCAAAAACTCGACGGTTAGGGCATAGTGGAAGCCCTGCTCCAGGCTTGCGCGGCCTTCCCGTCCCTCGATCGATGTCACGTCGGACGTCGAGGCGATAGAAATTGCAATTATTCGTCCTAGCACCTACACACAATCAGCTGATCGCCGAGTGATGAGGCGATGTTTTTCTCCCATTCTTTTTTCCCCTGTTGTTCTTTTTGCTGCCGCGATCCCTTTTCAACTTCCTACCCCAAGAGACTGAAAAAGGTGAGCTATTTCTGCAGTTACTAGGGTTTATTCGTTTACTTATGCTTATGAGTTGATGAATTTTTGCTTACCGTGGTCAGTTATTTGCACCAGGACTCACATGTACGCAATGACCCCCATTATGTAGCTCGTCCAGATGCCCCAATCTTCTCCATTCTTCTGGCCTCATTCTCGTCCAGCCCCTTTCGAAGCCTTTTTTCATTTTGGAAACAGCGATGCACGCAGTTTCTCCACCTTCATCGCACTACTTTCGATCTTGTCTTCCATTTTTCATCATAACCTGGATTACCCAAAATTATCGTGAACTGTGCCTTTAACTACCTTCGGCATTTGCGACAGTAAGATTTTTCAACTTGATTCCACTACTGAAGTTTTCCCAAGGGTGGATGA